TTCATTTAATACAATAATTACAAGTAGCACAAAAGAATCTTCTAATTACAAGTAAAGAATTTAGTTTACAGAAATTAATGTATATTAATATTAACGATACGCCACTGGACTGCGATATAATGCGAACAAATTTTTACTCAATTGGCGACGAAAATAGTTTAATAGTAAAAATATTTTCGGAATCGGCCTGAAAATGCGTCGGATTTTTCTGTATATTTTGACGCGCGCCTTTATAACCCAAATTCCTTCAATAATTGAGACCAAACCAACAAAGAGTAATTCGTTGAGAGGTTAGAAAGAATAACATGTTAGTAACTTTTTCATTATAGATGGTGGTCCGAATTGTATTCAGGAAACTTCGACAACATATTCTGCAGATAATATAAATGTACAGGGTCCGGCAATAGTGCGTCGGGCATCTGTAGCTCCTAAAATAAAAAAACTTGTGAATTTTGTTTATGTGCAAACCTAAAGTATGTACTATAATTAGGATGCATTTCATGAAAATATTTTAACTTTTATAGGGTGGCACAAAAAAGTGTGAGTGGATCGGGATGATTTTTTTTAATGGAACACCCTGTATATTATTGCATTTTTGTCTTCCTTCCAGATCACTTTACATAATCCTAAGACATGAGTAAATATATTTCGATAATTTCAGAGATATTAATAAATAAATAAAAATTATTTATTTTTCAGCCTTTCTTAAAAAAAAATTAATAATACAAGAACTGTCCTGATATCAAAACTATATTAGATATTTACTTTAGATGGTCTGTACTTACTTTGCTATAAATATGGAAATCGTAAATCATACAGGATGTTCAATATTTTGCGCCAAACTTTCAAAAATATAAAATAATTTTTCTTTGTTATTTTAAATGAAACACCCTGTATATTACTTTTTCACTAGATGGAGAATTAAAAAATGAATATATTTTGCATTTAGAGTATTTCAAAATTTTTAACGGTTTCGCAGATATTCCCGGTTTTGTATTTCATATGGCATTTTCCAGTAAATTTTTATCAAAGCTACCCAATGATTTTTCTCTCGTATTTTACCATTGAAAGCGCCATATGAAATAATACTGCGTGTATCCGGAAAACTATTAAAAATTTTGAAATACTTTAAATACAAAAAATGTTCATTTTTTAATTCTTCATCAAATAAAAGATATAAAGGGTGTTCCATTTAAACGAAAAAAAAAATATTTTATATATTTGAAAGTTGGCGTAAAATATTGAACATCCTGCATGATTTACGGTTACCATATTTATAGCAAAGTAAGAACAGACCATCTAAAGTAAATATCTAATATAGTTTTGATTTCAGAACAGTTCTAGTATTTTTAATATTTTTTTAAGAATAGTTGAAAAATATATATTTTTGATTTATTTTTTAATATCCCGGAAACTATCGAAATAGATTTACTCATATCTTAGGATTATGTAAAGAGATCTGAAAGGAAGCCAAAAATACAACAATATACAGGGTGTTCCATTTTAAAAAAATCATCCAGATCCACTAATACTTTTTTGAGACACCCTATAGAAGTTAAAGTATTTTCCGGAAATACATCCTCCTACATACTTTAGGTCTGCACTTAAACAAAATTCTCAAGTTTTTTTAATCTAGGAGCTACAGATGCCCGACGCACTATTGCCGGACCCTGTATGTCCTAAACTGATTCGTTTCGAAGATACAGGGTGTAGAAGTTTCATTTTTATTTCGATCTTTTCCAAATAAATTCTGCAATAACGTCATTATTTGGATTAAAATTGGTGTCTAGGTGTTTTTTGACATAAGAAATTTGGGGGGGGGGGATTTCGATGTCAATATGACTCCTACTTGTAGGGACGCCACCTACATGCTTTTGAACTTTGGCAACAATGAATTTAAAAATCGCGCCCTCGATTACGTATCTAAAAGTTTAATTGATATCAAATATATGAATACCGCTACGCTATAACCACAGAAGAGGACTGTGCTATAATATTTTGTCAATTGATTTTGTAATTTTGCAATTGCTAATGTGATATCAACATATGCATCCCCATTTCTTTAAATTTCTCTTGAAATTGAAAATTAACTATTGTAGTTTGGGTATGTTTTTATAGTAACGTTAAGTTAGTCATTATGCACAGAATGCCTTATTTTGACGAAATTTAAAGAATAAAAGCAGGATTACCAGGATCATTTTAAGGTCGTCTCATGTGTGTATAGATTCCATTGAACATAAATATTACCAATTATCAGAGTATACAGAGATACTATACATATAAAAAAACAATCTATACCTATAATACCTATAATAAACCAATGACTCACTGTAATTGTTGGGCAATAAACAATTATATGCCTGAATAAACAATACAAATTAAAAATTACAAGTACATGTTACGAATATAACTATAACGAATATGCCAATTGTAAAAAATCTTTATTATTCATTTAAATTTAACTCACAAATTTGGAATCATTCTTTGACATGTTTAACATACTTATGTTTATGTATGTATATTCTATATATTTTAAACGCTAAATGTCATACAAAATATCATAAACTATGGCTTGGGAATGACAATCAACGGTAATTTGGTAATGTCAATCTCTAAAATTTGTCAAAAATTAACACGAATTAGAAAGATTAAAAAAAAAGGATAGAACGTTCCCAAACACCCAAATCTATTACCAAAAAGATATTTTTTCTCAAATTTTAAACTACACCATTTAACAATATTTTTACTCGATATAAAAATAAATTACACAACCTTCTTAAAAAAGAGTACAGACTAAGGAAATGACATCTAGGGCTTAAGCCCCCTAAAATTACCATCGATTATCATTCTCCAGCTTCTTTGATGCCAGTTTTTTTTTTCTTGATTGATTGGTACTAAATATACGCAAAATACGTCCTTATACAAGGTGAGTCTTAAACAAGTGCAAATATTTTAACGGGTAGTATATTTCGACCCCAGAAACACGATTATGAGTTTTTTCGCGAAAAAAAATAAAATTTGGAATTTTTTGAAAAAAAATTTGGATTTTTTTTTAGTTTTAAGTTAAAAAACATAACTTCTTGATAAATAACAACATAGGTAGTAGATTAAATTTACAAGACAAGAAACCCAGAAAAGATCCAGTGGTTCTCAAAATTTAAGAAAAAAAATGTTATTTTTGGAAATTTTCAAAGTAAAATAACTCAGTTATTTTGAACTTATTTGGTAAAGAGAAAATGTGTTCCTTTTATCGAGATCTTACCAGCCCTGCACCAAGTATTTGCACTTATTTAATACTCACCTTGTATATACAGAAAATGCAAATAATTTTAAAGTGTAAAGTTTAAAACAAATATTTATTTAAAAAATTCCTACATTCACCATAATAAAAAAGCAAAATCGATAAGTTTAACTTGGATTTGTAGGCATAGCCCTGATCTCGAATATTTACGAACATATTCCCCTAATTCACTTTCTGTAATCCAATTTGAGCAGAAACATCATGCATATAGGATGAAGAAAATCGTTAAAGCTTGAAAATACAAATTCAGCGGTTACTCAAAATAATTTCCTGTTTAATTCATGAGATATTGTAGTAATAAATAAGTTATTTTGTGAGTAAAAAAACGTTTAATTAAAAATCATTGTATACCTACTACTGTAGTAGAAATAATAATTTATTACTATAACGGTACCAATGTGTACTGTGTACCAATCACGCATCAATGTTACAATACTATACTAAATGAAAACAATTGAAATTTTACATTGTTGAAGTAAAAACATATTGTACCACGAAATTAAAAAAAAATACTTTTACTGGAAAATCACTAAAAACGCAACAATTGTATTATTCTTTCAATACCTTTAATGGAATACCATTTTAAATTTCATTACCTATGGATGGTAAAGAGCAATAGAACGTTTCCTACATACCGAGTATTTTTCTGTAGTGGCTCACCCCTATAACTTTTTATTCTTTCAGATATAAAAACGATATTTGGAATGTTAGTACAAGATGTCCTATTTTCTTGTGTCTTACGTGTTTCTCGCTTATGAGCAAAGATACAAAGATGCGGTTTTCACGTCACTTCGCTGCTTTTTTTATGAAACTAAAGATGCTGCACACAGATTGGTCCTAGCTCTTTTACTTTCAGAAATACCGGGCGAATTTGAAATTGTTGCATTTTTCAACTCCCCTCGTATCTAGGTTGTCTTATAAGCTATTATCACCCTTGCCGTAGAAATGAACTAAATAAATTTTGTATTTCTTTAACATTTTAAAACAGCCAAAAATATGACGGTAATTAAAATTCTATTAATAACAATCTGAAAAAGAATAAAATCCAAGAAAATATTACCACATATCGAAAAGCTGAAAACTCCATACCCCATAGATTTTTTCACGTAGAATTCAATGGCTAGTAGGAATTATTTTTTCGTTGGGAGCTGTAATTTTTGAAATATGGCCAAAACTTTTGTTTTTTTATAAATGGGATACCCTGTATATTATTATTTAATTTAATTAATCTTATTATGACCTTTCTAAAAATATAATATTCTTTCTCGAATGTAATATCACAAGATGTTTGGGGATTACCGAATAATACTTTTACCTCATACGAAATGCGGTACCCGGTTTCTTATAATTAAAACATTACTCCTCCTTCGGAGTCGTAGTGTTGCCGGTATTGAGTGTCAGACAAAAGTATTAGGTAATCCCGAAACATCGAGTTGTATTCAAAATATTATACAACGAAATAAGGTACATATATCCTTCTTATCTTAAACATTTTTATTATAATAATTGACGGGATATTTTATTGGAACGGACAGAAATGACTTCTGAAATAATATTTAAACGTACCTATATGTGCGTATAGGTACCTATGTGTAAGTATATGTGCAGGGCGCAGGCCGGCTAATATATCGGAAAATTATCACAGTGGAATAGCCCAATAACTGTCTTCATAAACTCTAATCCAATCTAATATATTTACCTGGGTAAAAGTCATGAGACTTAGACATCTTGACGCGGGCTCCGGTTTCTTTTTGAAGTTGGGCAATAGTCTCGCCCCCCTTGCCAATGATGGCCCCAGCAGCCACACTCGGCACCAGTAGTTTGAAATGATAGGTTCCATCACCGCCTGAAACAAACAAAACAAATTAAATACAAAATAGAAAAAAACATTGTACAAATATAAACCAGTGTCGAATCTAGAGATTGATTCTGAGAGGGTGTAGTAGCAATAAGTAACTAAATTTAAATTAAATTATACCGAAAAAAAAAAGACTGTGACGATGTTTGTTTCAAGTATATCAAGCAAGTAGTAGAGGCATGTGATATGTGTGGTATGAGGCTTAACTGCAAGAAGACCAAAATTCTAGTAGTTAGTAAAAATGATGAGGCGCAATACCATCAGTTTAGGGCGAATAACGAAACCTTGGAAACAGCAGATACAATCACGTATTTGGGCTGCAGCTTGAACAAGGAATGGGATCACTCACGAGAGATCAGATGCCGCATAGAAAAAGCCAGAGCCGTTTTTAACCGTCTTAGAAAAATCCTATGCAATATGCACCTGAATATTGCTATAAGAACACAGGTCCTAAGGTGCTACGTATTCTACACGCTCCTATATGGAGTGGAAGCTTGGACCATAACAGATGCTACATCTAAACGCTTGATCCAGAGAATGCAAAAGGAACTAGAAATAGTACATAGTGTGAAAGTGAGAAAGTGAGAAAAATGGCATACCTTGAGCATGTGATGCGTAATGATAAATACCAACTTATCCAACTGATACTGCAGGGCAAAATAGATAGTAGAAGAGGTCAGGGATGCCGACGACCATCATGGCTGAAAAATATTAGACAGTGGACGGGAATGACGACCGTACATCTATTCAGGGCGGCTGTCAATAGGATTATGTGGACCAACATGATTGCCAACATCCATTGAGGACAGGCACTGAAAGAAGAAGATATCAAGCAAGTTCCACTTAAAGCAGACTTCAATTTGGATCCTAATTCCCAGCTGTTTATTTTACATTCATTACGGGGATATGCGATCTATATTATTTTCGATTCCAAATCAGCTTCACTCAAGTCAATCTCAGAATAATGTGGGATTGAGTTGAAAGTTGAAGCGCGCTTTAAAATTCAATCGTACATATTTAGGTATATCAATATTTGAAGTCAACTTAGCTATTCAAACGTGCAATTAGTCGTAATAAACATTGTCTGTAGAAAAAATATACTTGGATAGGTTTGAATTTCCTATTTTGATTGGTATTGATTGGTGACAATTTTATTTTATACCATATTTTTAATGCATCGAGAATGGGCATCTCTTTTAACGAAGTTTGCCAAAGTTGCAAGGACCCCAAAGAAAGGAAAACGATCCTGAATTTCCTGTATCGCTCTCCGGCTTTGTATAAGACCCGGACTCGTTTCCTCGGAAGCTACAGCTTCATAGACCTTGAAGAGGATGCCGATGTCGGAAAGAGCATAACGGAATTCACCGGTTACCTTAGTGCCACCTAATTGTTATAAACACTTAATATTCCAACTTTGCCATTTCTAAGGTCTTAGGGATAGGGTCTCAGAGTGAGCGGTATAAAAACGACAATTCTACTAATTGGAGTTCGTCAAGCGGTCGTCGCACTCGCCGCTTCAACCTCCTATGTTTTATCTCATAAAACTTCTCCCCTGAGAGGGGTAATTACCACCCCGTATATGATATCAACCCACTGGTTTCTAACTTCATTAAATGATCATAGGTCTCATTAGACGTTTATGAAGATCCAGAGATTTTTGAAAATTTGCATTTTTACATAAGGTAGTCTTACTAAAATATTTTCAGCATTTTCAGCCGCATCATTTGAAAAGCAGCATTTGATAACAACTTTCTTATTTTAAATGGAACACCTAGTATATTATTACATTTTATTACTCTTTTTATACTAACCTATACCAATATCTAATAGTTTTTGAGATAAAAAATAAAACATGTGTAAAATTAACAAAAACACGATCTTGAATAAACATTGGTTAAATGATAAATTCGGCATATTGAAAGCTAAAAATTCATTTATACGTTCAGGACAGTCTACATATCCGATCTGCCTAAATCAACTGATTGGATATCAAACAGGGAGGTCAGAAAAAATAATTATTTCCGTTTGTTATAAAATCGTTGTACCAAAGATATACATACCGTTCATACCAAATAAACTTTTAGTTACGTGACTAAGCTTGACCGGCACAGTGTTGCCCACTTTTATATATTTTCTTTTAATCAATATATAAACAGTTATTATTTACATCAACAAAACTCACCTTTTAGCAGCACTTAATGGACATAAAGGGCCATTACTACCACTTTGCCGTTCAAAATATTCTAATTAAATTGCGATGAGTTTTTTACGGCTGTTAAGCTATCTCTACACTTCGTACTAAAAAAGATTCTAAAAAGAACAATGTTCAGCTGCAAGGTCTGCTAGTAAACATTTACACAATTAATTTAATTCAAAAACTCGTAATACAAAACTAAAGTGTCAAAACGAATGACAATGTCAGGAAATAGATAAATAAATGTAACAACTTGACATTTTTTACAGCAGAGCTACCACCTGAATCCCCAGCGCGAAATAATTCCCCTAATTCCAGTTCGGCGCCGGATATGTCCATTGTTGGCAACAATGAATTTAAAAATCGCGCCCTCGATTACGTAACTAAAAGTTTAATTGATATCAAATATATGAAAATTCATATATGTGTTAATGCCTATGCTTCGTCATAAAAAAATAACTAAAAATTGTAGAAATTAATTTATAATTTATGAAAGTTCAACCTCAATAATTTTACCATACCTACGTCAAAAAATTGGCGCCGGGAGGCACGTATAGCCGCCATACTAAAATATGTTAATAAAAAGTTGGTAGGCAGTTCTTTTAGTTTCAAAGTAAAGGAATTTTTCCAATTTTTTTTATTTCATAAACTGAGACTTTGAATTTGATGTTATTACAAATTTTGTTGCAAATATTATTCCTAATCTTAAATTGAAAACCGCGTTTCGCTAGCTACTATAATTTTGGAGCTACGATTTTTTAAAATTTTTAACCCCCTCCCATACCCCCTTACTAACCCCCCACCCCCACCAAAAACTAATGGGCAGGTTTTCTCACAGTATTTTCGTGACAAATTTGGTTAAAATCGGGCTTTGGTTTAGCGGTTTTTGAGTTATCGTGTTACAGACAGACGGTCAGACGGACAGACAGACAAAGAAAAAGAAGAAGACCATGAAAATATTTTGTATTTTGGTCATTTATGACCCAAATAACTCATTTTGAGTGAAATTAAAAAAAACTTTTTTTTGCCGATCTTAATAGCCTACCATAATACCTGTTGGTATGGTCGGCTAAAAATACATCCTCTTTATGTGTCAATAGGATTTCATCAAAAGCTAACCGCGAGTCTAAAAAGAGCATTTGAGAGAGATTAGCATTTTCCAATCTCTTAAAATTGTGTACAGGGTGGGTCAAATTGGACGACGCTTTTAAACGGAGACACCCTTTTCTATAGGAGATAGACGAAAACTAATATCGGTGTCTGGCGCTCAATTTTTTCAGGAACATGATGGTGATAACTGCACATCGATATCTGTTACCGTTTCGGTGTTTCGGAGCTACGGCTTGTTTTTCAAAAATGTGCATTTTAAACAAATCGCTGTAACTTTTTTGCTATGGAAAATTTTGTATTTCTAAGAAAACATTTCCAAAGCACCTTTTTACGTAAAATTTAATGGAAGGAAAGATAGAAGGAAGAAGGGGATTGGGCAGGAAGAGGATGTCGTGGCTCCGAAATGTTAAACATTGGACGGGAATAAGAACTACAGGAGAATTAATTCACGCCACCGGAGAGAGAGAAAGATGGTCAGAACTGATCGCAAACATCCATTAATGGATAGCAGCAGAAGAAGAAGAAAAGAACTTAAAATTACCTTTCCAAAAATATAGCACACTTGATATTTTGTAATAATACCCTTCGAAATACAGAATTTTTAAAAGTTCGCCACTTTTAACTAGTAGGCTTTGGACCCCTTACTGATGACATACCCCTAATGGAACTCGAAAACATATTTTTCCAGCAAGACGAGGCACCGCCTTAGAACGCCGAAGTTATCAGCAAATTTTTGCAGCCAATTTCAAGAATAATTTAATAGCTAACCAAGATCCCAGCCGTTGGCTGTCGAGGCTGCCGGACTTAGTGCATCTGGATCTAATCCTCTGGATATCTCTGCGGAAATATAAAGGCTTTTATTTTTAAATTGCCCGTATAATTTAGGCAAGAATTGGGAGTACTTAGCAGATTAGAGGGTATCTTTTACTCCTACTGAGTTAATAAATTCCGCGAGAAATGTTCAAAAACGGCCCCGTCTCTAAGTAACAGAAGATGGTCGATATGTCGAACACCTGTAGCAAAATCTCATGTCTTAGTTTGCTATTTATTTTTATTGTTATTAGATGATATACTTTAAATATGTTGATGTTGGTTAAATATAATTTAAATTTTTATAAAATTCTGCATCTCTCATTGCAAATATTTTCGTTTTAACTGATGCTCACAACTAGAATTTTTTTTGCATTACAGCCGAGCCGGCGCCGTTCAAAGCCTACTTATTTAAAGTGGGCAATTTTTTATAAACTCTGTATCTCGAAGAGGAATCGAGCAAAATATCCTATATGTGCTATATTTTTGGCTAGGTAATTTTAAATTATTTTCAATAAATTAAAAATATACAGGGTGTCCCATATAAAAAATCAAATTTTCTGTTGATAAGTCTTAAATTATTAATTTAAAAAAACTATACTTAAACCATTAAATTCTACGTAAAAAGCTGCTTTGGAAATGTTTTCATGGAAATACAAAATTTTTCATAGGAAAAAAGTGCGATTTGTTAAAAATGCACATTTTTGAAAAACAACGCGTAACTCCGAAACGGTACAGATATCGATGTGCGGTTTCACTCACCATCATGTTTTTGATAAAAATTGGGCTCCAGACACCGATATTAGTTTTTGTCTATCTCCTATTATAGAAAAGGGTGTTTCCCTTTAAAAGCGTCGAATTTGACCCACCCTGT